TTGATCTTGGTCTCTCCTATACTACTTCAAATCAGCTTTACCATCCTGCTGGTTCCATCATTAATGAATTAAATACATTTTTGACAAATGCTTCCTATATATAAGACCCATGTTTTTAAAATAAAAATAATTGTACTTTGACACTACTTCCAGACTTTTAATCCTTCAAAATTCAGCTTGGACACCGCTACTTCAGGATTCTGCAGGCACTCTCAGGAAAGGGTGAATCACTACATCCTCCTTCCTTAGTAGAATCTCTGCAATGGTACCTCTGTACTTATCATACCTCATTGCATATGGGGGCCTGTGATGTCTGCATCATGAGCACAGTGTCTGGCATAAAATGGGTGTTCACTGGATGTTTTCTGCATGAGTAGAACAAAGAAAAAATTCGAATTCTCTGCTTCTCAAGCTGTGGTACCTGGTCCTGTAACAAGGGTGTACAAAGCCACAGGATAAACATGGTAGACATTCCTGGGAAAACACACACCACTATTGGAGGAACAATGTTAATGGAGTATGATGTAAAATTGCCTAGAATTTTAAAGCCGAAGGAAGTTTTAAGCCATGTGTTCTTCAGGTTATGCCTCCACATCCTTAGAATTTCCTCTGTTTCTGACAGGAGTATTTGAGTAAAGAGTAAAAGAAGTACTGACCTAACCCTCAAAATTACCTCAAAAAGCTCAAAATTCCAGGCATTGGGCGTGGAGGTATAAAGTTAATGTGCAGAGGTGGGAGCTGGAAGAAGGGTAGAAGGTTAGTAGTAAGTTAGACCTAAGTCTTTATAGGTTTTCCTTCGTTACGATACTGTTTTTTGTTAAAAGTTATGGTAATTACTGAGGGCTCATACTCCATCTGTCGGTATGACTTTTGGGCTGTGTTAGTGTTTCTGAACTAGTTATCAAGCTATTGATTACCAAGTCCTTTATTCTCTTCTTCATTTTTATATTTTTCTATGGCAAAAAGAAAATGTTTTGTTTGCAGTAAGACAAAAAACTTGAAAAAAGTCACATATTAGAAAGTAAAAGGTGTAGGAAGTAGAAACAATTTTCTTCTTAGAGAAGCCAGGTTACTAAAAATAAAGTAACTGTAGCTTCCGTTTTAGAACAAATGAGAGGTTTGAATTTATCTGCATTTCAAACAACTGTTTTGAAAGGAAAGATGAATAAAGCTGATTAATTATAATTAACAACATTTAGAATTTAGGCAAAGCTAAAGCCAATTTAATCTCTATTTTCTGTAACAAGTAGCAATCTATTTTCAATAGCTCTGAGATTTCTGTCTTAAGAGTAAAACTTTTAAATTAGAATCTTTTGTAGTATCACAAATGTACAGTATTTGTAATTCAAATAAAAAGGACTGATTTTTCCATTAGTACATTGATTCATAAATTTACTCTGCACCCCATTTCCAACAATGACAGAGACACATACACACAGCCTGTAATAATAAAGAAGCCAGAATCAACTGTGCTTTTGTTGATTACAGGAGGGAGCTAAGGGTGAATAAATTCAAACTGTTGATTTGAGAAGTCTTTTAAACTGTAAATAAGTAGCAACACCACAGCCCTATAAACAATCTTTCCTTAAAAACCAGAAAATGGTCATGAGATTCTAAGTAGAGACTCACAGATAGAATGTTTTAAAACAAAAACAACCCCCCCGCAACTCCAGGAATTAAGGTTTTTTTCTTTCTATACAAACCTCTATGTTATATAGGGGATTTGGTGCTATAGTTAATATAAAGTGCATTCTAGCCAATTTAAAACAAATGCGTAAAGAGATATAAAATAGAACACCTCTTTGCTTTCCATTTAAACTCGTAATTGGCTCTCTACTAGGTTCTCATGAGCACTATTCCGTTGCCAGCACCTTAAAAAATTGGAATACCTCACTGGTGCTATTAGTTATTCCGGTACATTGCATCACTGTGCATAAAGTTTCCAAAAATGATTCCTTATAACAGCACACATAAATTATTTAGGAAGCAGCTTCATCTGTTGGTGTAACTTTTGGGTTCTGTTAGCATTTTTGGAGGATTTGATTACCAAGTTCTTTATTCTCTACTTCTTAATTTCGTAGACCATGTTCTGTTTCATCACAAATTTACAGCATCAAAGAGCTGAAGAGTGATTTGTCCTTGATGACAAACACGGGCATAGAAAGACAGTTATATATACACTGCATGACAAAAGAACAAAGCCAAAATGATTCCAAGAACAGCAAATTTTAACTTCGAAAGAAAGTTTGACTTTTCAGTTGACATTCCAACAGTCAGCTGAGGGCTGGAATGAAATACTGTAATCATCAGTCTGGAAAATCCTCTCAACATAAACAAGGAGTGGCTGGTATGGTGTGATGGCTAAAGGGTCCTTGAACAGACTGATTACAGCTAGAATCTCAATTCTAGGACTTGGGACATTTTAATCTCTCTCTATTCACATTCCCCCTCTCTAAAATAAAGCTGACCACTGCATCTATCTTAAGGGGATAATGAGAGAACTAAATGAGTGAATATATGGCAAATGCTTAGCATGACAAGCACACAGCTCAAAAAATATTATGTTAATTATTACATATTACAAATAAAGTATTTAAAAATATCTTTAAAGAAGAAAAGACCTGACCCTGAAACTCAAGTTTTGGACTCCAAGTTCAGTGCTCTTTACATTATGTAGAGCGGCTGTCTCTGCCTTCTCCAACTCTGACAACAGTAACACAGGAACTCCAACACCATATTCCTGTTACCTCAGGTGCAAGACTTAAAAAGCCCACATTTCATTTGCTTTTATTTTATGTTAACATGTATTTCTCTGAAGGACGATTATTTTGACATAACCCATTCAGCCTCTGGAATGTAGCTTCTAACCTGTCAAATCCTCTTAAAGAATTCTTAAACAGTTGACAATATTTGGCTTGTAATTATCTTAACCTCCCTCACCTAATTAATGGTAGGTGTTAACATTTTGTGATAGCACATTGTCTTTGATAAAACACAAAAATAGCACTGTGGTTTAGGAAGAGTTCATAACCTATTTGAGGTAAGTATGTAGTAACAGCAGGTTGTAAACCTTGACATTTTTGCTGAATTTATCCTAGAAAGCATAAAATGTACCAGGCAACACATTTAACACTTTGAAGGGAGCATGTTTGTATTATAAAATCTTCCAATTTTTATTTTCCCTTTTCATATTTGATATTTCAGACATTCTGTGTACAACCTGAATGCAATTTGATATTCCAAAGGAAATCGCTTAAGGTTTGGACTTCAAAGAAGTCAATATCCCTTCATCAAAAGTGCAGGTCAAACCTCCCAAAGCCTCTTCTAACTTCCTGCCAGGTAAGATCCCACCTTTTCATATCACTTTGTTTATACTCCTTTTATGCCAAGTTTTATAGTTATTATCCACAAATAAGTCTTACTATCTTCAAAATATACCCAAAATACAATTACTTCTTACCATCTTCACCACTACCACTCTAGACCAAGCCGCTGTCATCTGCCTGATTACTGCATTATTTGCCTAACTCATCTTGCTTTACTCCTCCCACCCCGACAAAAGCCAATTTCTCAACATAGCAGTTAGCATGATCCTGTAAAATCTTAGACCAGATTATACTGCCTCAAACCCATTCACCGACCCAGAGTAAAAGGCAAAGTCCTTCCAATGGCCTACAAGGCCCTACATGACCTGCTCCCCAGGGGCCCCCCTCTACTCACTCCTCTTTCCTTCAATCCTTCCAGACCTTATCTGAATTCACCAAGCCTGCCCTAGCCATAGGGCCCGGCACTTGCTGTTCCTCCTAATCTGGAAAACAACTCTTCAAGGTAGTCATGTGTCTTGCTCCCCAACTTTCTCTAACTCTCTACTAAAATGTCACATTGTAAAATAAGAGAGGCCTTTCCTTATCCCTTGATGTAAAAGTGGCAAATCTGTTCCCTGCCATTCCCTTTATATCGCTTTATTTTTATATTCTACAGTGTTTATTACCCCATGACCAACGATGTACTTGACTATTTCCCCTCCCTTCAAAAAAATCTAAGTCCTATGAGGACAGGGACTTAATTTCTTCACTGCTGCATCGCCAGCATCTAGAACAGTTCCTGGCATATGGCAGGTAAATGATAAATATGTACTGGATAAAGGAATCACCCTTTTCCCATACAATATAAGCTCCTTAAATTCTTAACCTTTTTCACATCACCAATTGTGGCGACTTTTATTTAATGGACCCTTAACAAATATTTTTGAGTGAATGACGAGCAAGAGCACTGAAATTACCGAGAATGCTTGGGACAAGTCTACAAAGAATGAGGGGCCCCAACAATCCAAGCAACTACATCTACTGGAGAGCACACTGGATCTAAAACGAAAAGCTGGTTGTGGAAAGAAGAAAGAGACGTTCCTCCATCTGTCATCATTTCTGGGCTGTTAGCATTTCTAAAGCATTCTTGAGAATTATCAACATATAAATAAAATATCCTTAAACCGGTCGTCTTAATTCACTACCCTTAATTAAATTGTATGGATCAGGACTGTTCAGGTTCACTCCCCACTCACACCATTTCAGCTCTGTAACAATCTTCGGAGAAAAGACATTAACATGCTCGCAGTTGGCAAAGACACAGAGGAGGCGGTGGCTCGGCCAGTATATGCCTATGTCTGGATTCTAACCCAGGACGTCTGACTCCCAGGCCACCCGCACTAAGGCCTTTCGCGGTGACTAAGTTAAGAGGCGGCTCCGCCTCTGCAGGAGTTGCCTCCGAAAAGGCAGAAATACGATGGCGCATTTTCTCATAACCGCCCGAGTACTTCGCTCGGGTTTCCGCGGAGTCCGGGGGCTGTGGCACTGATCAGAGAAAGCAGTTCTGCCCACGAATGCCTCCAAACCTCAAGTTTCCAGGTCGCTGGTGTGCAGCACACCAGGACGAAGAAAGCGCTCTGTAAACTGCAAACCGCCAGACTAACAGCAGCGAAGATGAAGCTTTGGAAACAATACCTGAAGAGGCGGGGGACGAATAACTTGCTGACAGTGGGCACCGGCCAACGCTCCGGGGGCGGGCGGGGGTGCTCCGGCGGAGCTGCAGCCCTTAGAGTGGGGCCGCGGCGCTCCGGGCGCCCGTTTCCGGGGTCGGGGTCTGAAGAGACCGGACAGCCCAGGCCGGACCCGCCCCAGCCTTCTCAGCCCGGGCACAGGACCCCTTCTGCCGCGGCCCTCACGGCTCGGCCCGCCAAGTCCCGCTCCGAGGGCCTGCGGCCCGCTCCCAGCGCCCGCCGGCGGCCGTCCACTGCCCGCCCCGCGGCCCCTCACCTGCGCGCGCCCCGCGTCCTCCTCTCCCACTCCCGCAGCCTGGAGCGGACCTGGGGCACCGCCCCCTCCAGTCCGCGCCCTCGCCCCGCCCCCTCGGGGGCCGGAACTGCTCCCTTCCGGGCCCTTCTCCCCGCCTCTTCGACCCCCACCTCCCCAGTGTAGCGTCACTTCCGTCAGCGCCCGGTCGCGCGCAGCGAGTCCAGGTCTCGCGAACGCGCCCGGAGCGTCCCAAGAGCCGGGAGCGCGCCCAGCGCATGACAACGAATTCGCGGCGCGGCGCCCGTGTCTGTGTCCGCCTCCGCCTCAGCCCCTGCCGCCTCCCCGCGCGTTCTTTTGCATTCTCTCTCTGTGCCAACTAGGACGCCCTCGAAGTCCCGGGGCCTGGGGGCCACGGGGATTCCTCCGCGCCTTGTCCCCGCCAGGCCTAATCGCGAGCGATGGGGTCACTCTGAGGGACGCCTGGCGCTGAGCCGGCATGGAGGAGCCACCCCTCCTCGCTTAGGCCCCGCCGTGGCCTGGGGACTCCGGCCGCAGCCCGAGGCGCAGCCGCCGCGGCCTGGAGCTGGAGGCTGGGCCTCCGGGCCGGAGCCGCCGCCGCCCGCAGACCCCGCCGGCCCATCTGCCAGCCCTCATCATGCCTTGGCCGTTTTCAGAGTCCATCAAGAAGAGAGCCTGTCGGTACCTCCTGCAGAGGTACCTGGGCCACTTTCTGCAGGAGAAACTGAGCCTGGAGCAGCTCAGCCTGGACTTGTACCAGGGCACCGGGTCCCTCGCCCAGGTCCCCTTGGACAAATGGGTAAGAGCTGCTGGCTGCCAGCAGGGCGGGACTCGCTCCCCAATTCAGGGCGATTTGAACAGGTGTCATTCAACTGTTTGGCTCTAAGTGTGCTAGGGCTAGGGAAATGGGTTGAAGCGTTGTTTAATATGTTTCTAGCAAGTTTGCCTCCCCAAATGACGTGCTCCGAAGACTTAACATTGGTCATGGAGTCTACACTGTGGCGGTAAGTTGAGCCAGTGGTTTCGGGGCTGTGAAGTTGGCTGAAAGGCGTCCTTGGAAGGAGGTGACCAGGTGCTGCCTTTTAGGGTAGGAGGGGTCTCGAGGCTCTGTGGCAAACGAATTCATTTCATGGGATGACACTCTGGAAAGATGAAGGATGAAGAGGACTTTTGAAGGTGTCAGAATTCCTAGTTATTCCTTTATTTTGGGTGCGCTACTCGCACACCGCAGTCTCTGTACAGCGTTTGCCATCTGAAGAAAGTTAGGTGAAGGCCTCCTCTGCCGGTTTGCCTGCTTTGCTTGATGACATGTTTACAAAGCCAGCCTGTGAATAATTGTGTGGCCCTAGTAGTGCTGTTTAATTATGCCTGTGTGCTTCACGTGACATCGTAAAAGCAAGTGTTGCAAAAGTGCTGAAGCTGCAATTTTCAAACCTTTAAAAACCTGTTTTCTACTTGTCATCCAGTGGCTGTGAGTTGATTGATTGTATCTTCCAGGTGCTTTATGTACAGGTAACTCACCACGTACAGTTGTACCTGCCATCTGTATGTTCAGCGCACAGTCTTCTTAAAGTGTATTCAGCCTTGAGTTTGGCAAGAACGGAGTGAGTGGCTTTCCCCGCCCCTCAACCGTCCGTATATTGCATTCGAGTTTGCTGTTTACAGTTGTACCATTGTAGGGTTTTAATTTTCTAAAGTAAGGAAATCATGAACATAGGTGACTTAGCTGTCATAGTTGTGGAAAACAAAAGGAAACTTTGTTTTCCTGACTTACCCTGTGTAAAAAGCTTTTTTTTTTCTACTAAGTAAAAATATTTCAACTCAGTAATGACTTTCTTAGCCATAGAAATCTGAAAAGCTCAAATTATGGTAATACCTTATGATGACCCTTAAGTTAGTTTGTGCTCGAGTTAATAAGCATATGATTTTATCAGTAAGTAAGTGACTTAAACTAGAGAGAGTATCCAGGATAGCGGAAGAGTCGTGGTTTGAGTAGCAGACCCAGTCCCATACCAGGCTGACCCAGGCTGTTGGAGTTAGCCAAGGGATATTGGATAATTCACCTGAGTTGAATAAACATTAATGGAATACACTCCATGCCAGGCACTGTGTCAGGTACTGTATTGCTATAATTCTTACCAAAAGATAGGGATTCTGATGTATATTTTTTAATTCAGTGACCCATAGGTCTATATTTTTGATACAGTTATTGAATAGGCTGTCTTGAAGGAGGAGGGTAGGATATTGTCTTGTGAGTTGAATGAATTAATGCATTATTCTTTGAAGACTTTGCATATTAAGCCTATAAGGTGGGTATTATTATTTACATGTTATAGATGGAGTTAAATAATTTGCCCCAAGTCACATAGCTAGCAAGCAATATAGTGAGAATTCAATCCTGTCTATTTCTTAAGTCCATTTCTTTATTAATCACATGGCTTCAAGCATAGGAAAGAGCAGTTAATGTTTATTGAGGATCTGTTTATTTCAGTTGCTGTGTTAGATGCTCCCATTTGTGTTGTTTTGTTTGTCATGGGAAATCAGAGGTGTTGCTATTTGAACTTACAGTTTGACTTCAGGATCATTAGCAGAATAATTTATTGTTAAATTTAATCTGAAGATTATGTTGTGTTCTGCTCCTTGAAGGTGAGGGATATGTCCAGTGAAAACACTAATGTTGAAGTATCCTGGAAACATTTGTTGCTTATTTATTAATTACAGTGAACTGTTTTGATGACTAAGATAAATCTTGACGTGACACTGGAAGTTCTGATTCCAAATTCACTGACTTTTTTTAAAAATCAAATTCACTGACTTTTGATGCTTGATTTTGAAGACTTTCATGACTGTAGAAAAGATACTTCACGAAGATTCACTGATCCAAATGGAAAAATCGCATCATTGGTGACATTATCATTTCTCAACCATCAGTTGTGCACAGGATTGTGCTGAAATTTGTTGTAATGTTCCCTTTTCCCTTAATATCAGTTATTCTAATTAATTGAAAGGTGTTGCTTTTTTATATATACATATAAAATTTAAAACCTATTTTTAAAAACTGTTTAGAGGGCTTTTAGATTGGTTGGGATAATCTTCCAGTGTTTTCAAACCTTCCATAACCCGTGTAGATAATGATTTTTTAAAAAGGCAGTATTTTTAAAAGACACTATTTCAGCAACAAAATCAAATAACAGTGGTAACATTTCCAAATACAATTTTTCAAAATGTTCTCCCCATAGTACAAGAATTCTTTGAAAAGCAATTATTTTCTCACTTATTATTAAAGTGATATCTTTACTTTGAAAAGATAAGGTGTGTTTTGTTTTTGGGAATATACCTGCTGGGTAGCATATACTGCTGATAGCCACCTGTCTTCAAATCAATGGTCTGCCTGATTAGAACTCTTCTCTTTGTGTAGAAGAAGATTGCTTGTCATCTTTAAATTCAACTTTTAAATATTTGGCCAAAGAAACCCCAGGAACTCAGAAAGTTATTGTCATTTTCCATCTCTTTACAAAGATTCTATTATTTAAAATTCTGTTTTATATATAGAATGTATGCTTGAGTAAGTTTCAGTGTGCTGAAATGGAATATCCAACTGAGAGCATCACCCTTACCTCCTCTCCATTGTAGGACTCACTAGCCTTCTCTTTCTACAAGTCTGATGTGTGGTTAGAGTGAGGGCTTCAATGCCCATTTATATATTAACTATTAGTGTAACTTCGAAGTATACAATGTGAAAAATTGGATATCGAATGTCTGAGTTTCTTCTCACATCCCTATCGCTCATCTGCTAAACTCTCAGGAATACATCCACTCTCCGTTGGAGATCACTACCTTACTGTGGCTGCAGCGGGAGGGAGGGATAGAGGCAAGGGGTTTGGAACTATTCCACAGTTAGAATGTGCTGTCTGATAAGTTCATGTTCTTTTTCTATTGAACTGGTTGAAAATGCAAAGTGTTGAAAGATGGAAATACTGTTTGGGTAGGAGGCTGGATATGATAACTAATTTTTTCCCAACTCTTTATGGCTGTGACTTTATTCTTTTTTTTAATTGAGTTTTTTTTATTAATTGGTTCAATACATGTGGCACTATGAGGGGTCAGGGGATATAGCAGTGAAGGAGATGGACAAAGAACCTTTTCTCCCAGAAGTTCAGTATGTCCAGGAAGGTTAACATTTCGTTACACTGAAGCCTCTTAAATTTAATAATCTGCTTCTATTACCTTCTGCTTATACTGTATTGGTATATGTAATAAAATTATCTTCAGTTCAAGAAACATTGATTAATGGTTATTTGCCAAATGCTGTAGTAGAGACCAGCATGATAATTGAAAGCAAACAGGCCTTAAATATAAGAAAAACTCTCAGGTAATCTGTGTAGAACGTGTGTTTAAATTTAAACATTTAAATATAATATCTGTAAGTATAAACATCTTAAGTTTAGGAATATTATATTGCAGCTTAGTGACAGTTTAAATTCTTGAACTGTTGACTCTTTCCATAACTATTTTTCCTTAACATTTAGTGTATTTTTTCTTTTAATATTGTTCTTCAATGCTGTAATAAAACTTTCTGAACTGTTAAAAGTTTAAGGTAGCCACAAAATTGAGTAGTTCAGGTGCCTCTGCCTTTAGCTGGAGATTTACTCAAACACAAGGATATACTTACGTGGGCTAATGAGAGCATTGCCTGAGTTGATAACAGGGAATCAATATGGTCAGGTTGAGAATTTTGTCCTAGTCTTGTTCTGTAGTAACCCTGGGGTCACAGAGTGAGTCAATTTCTAAATACCTTATGATACAGTGTCCCGGCCCGCGGGACGAACGTGGAGTGTACGGGAGACGCCTGCAGAAATGAGACAAGCAAGAGACACAAAGAATGACCAGCAAGACAGGATGTCTGATCAAGCTGGCAAAGTTTATTGTTTACAGGCTCAATTTATACAAGTAGCAAGTAAGGGGTGGGTCAGGAGATAACTGGACTTTAGGTGGCGCCGGGTCAGGAGATAACTGGACTTTAGGTGGCGCCGGTGGGGAGGTGCAGAAGGGTGATTGGGTCTTGGTAAGCGCTGACGGGAACGGAGGACCCGAAAGAGAAGCGGGGGGTTTGCCATTTTCGGGGCGGGGGAGGTGTTTCTTGCTTAACAAAGGACAGAAAAGGCACATGCTGTGAGGTAGCCTAACCACTAACTCTAACTTAGAAATGCAAATGTTGCTAGGTAAATTAACCCCTAGCTCTAACCTAGGAGTTCACTAAATGCGCTTCTTAGTGAAAGGGGAAAACTTGTTTCTAACGTGTGGATGGGTTCATTGTTGCTGACTTTATAGGAAAGATTTCCAGCTGATTTTACAGGAAAGATTTTTACTCAAAACGTTGCTGTTGTCTTAAGGCTCCTGTGACCGAATCTGCTTAAAGGCCCACAGATTTGCTCCCAACAATACAGGATATGGAGATTTTGCCCAACTGCATTTCAGACTGTAAATAAGTCTTGTTAAACATTTAAATATAATATCTGTAAGTATAAACATCTTAAGTTTAGGAATATTATATTGCAGCTTAGTGACAGTTTAAATTCTTGAACTGTTGACTCTTTCCATAACTATTTTTCCTTAACATTTACTGTATTTTTTCTTTTAATATTGTTCTTCAATGCTGTAATAAAACTTTCTGAACTGTTAAAAGTTTAAGGTAGCCACAAAATTGAGACAAACAAGAACTTGGTGTTTATTGAACAGATAATTTTATCAAATTCAGTTTCCTAGATGGTTGTCTAATGATGACAGATCCCCATGTAACAGACTGTCATTGCCTATATGCAGTTTAAAGCACTTCAGTATATTTTTAATTGTATGTTTTTATTATATAATATATACTCATTGCAAAAAATCAAACTACAGAAATACAGATGAAAAAAACATGCATAAATATATAAAGTATGAAGTAATAGCCCTTATTCCCATCTCTCCCAGAGATGATAATATGGAACAAAAATTCCAGCCTTTTAATTATGGATATGAAATAAGCAGTTCTGGACTTACTTTCTTGGTCTTATATGATGGGCCTTTTTTTAGGGTCAAACATTCTAAGTTTTTCTTTTAAAATTAATGAGAATAAATGTGAAAAATGCAAGTAGAGGGATGAATCTTGCATAATAGCTTGAGGTGCTCAGTTGGTGGTGAAATGGGAAATGATAGAAAATAAGGTTGGCAACCTCCCCCACCAACTAGGGGTAGGGACCTTGTGGGAGAGGAAAGGAGGAAATTGAGATTGGGGTGAGAAAAGTTTTAACATACTGATTTTGAGGGGACTTTGAAACATCTAGATTGAGTTGCTCAGCAGGCAGTGGGAGCTACAAAGAATTGGAGTTGGAAGAGATGAGATACAGATTTGGGAGTTACAGGATATATGGCTCAAAATGCATGGGGAATATGTAGAAACATATTTGAGGAACAAAAAAGGCTGAAGACGAAATTGAGGTGAAGAGCAACATTATTTTAAGTGGTAAAGTATTGGAAGAAAGAGTGTGAAGAGTGTTACGGAAACCAAGGAAAGCTGGGATTTCAAAAAGAGAAGTGTTAAATAAGATGAGAACTCAAGGAAGATGAGGGCTGAACATTGCTCATTGTATTTGTCGGTTCATCACCCATTCAGAGCAGTTTCACAGTTGCTGAGGGTTAGAAGGCAGGTAGTAGTTTGTGTTTTGAGCAAGAGAAAGGAGGTTGATGACTAGCGGGGACATGGAGTCTAGGGTCTGTTAGTTTGCTTTTGAAGATAATAGTAACCATTTATTAAGCACCTTCCATGTCATATCCTGTATGGGGTACTTTAATGTTTATTTTCTTTGCTCTAAGTTGGGTGCTACCATTATCTGTTTTTACCGCAATTGTAGGTAACTTACTGAGGCTTAGTATTAGCACAGCAAGATTTCAGACCTTTCTTTCTGTCTCCTGTATTTTTTTGTGTACCATACTGTCTCAAAAGATCCATTAGCAGCACTGGGTTCACCTTGCAAGTTTGCTAACGTGGACTTCTAGGCCCCTCACTGTAGATTCTAGTTCTAAAGACCCAAGAATATGCATTTTTTAAAAAGCATCCTAGGAGATTCTGATGCATGTGCCCCTTGACTGCATTTTGAAAAACGCTGGTACTAAAGGCATTGAGAATTTTTCCATTTAGTTATAAAAGCTTTTTCTACAAGTCTCCTCCTAAGCTCAAGTACTACATTTTTGAGAATTAACATGTTAGCACATGATTTTGTTTAGCCTCCTGCAAAATATTCCATTTTGAAAATGTTTTTTCTTTTTTACAGTTTTGTTTCTGCAGTGATTAATTGAAGACCTTTTGCAAGTTCCTTTTCAGTTGCTGTATCTGTAAAATGGGCTTAAAAAACCTAATTCAGAGGGCTAGTGTGACAATTTATGCAGTAATGTAGGCATAATATAGTATAGTATGATGTCCTGAATGCACTAAGTATTAAATGTTAATTGGTCTAAATCATTTCTTACAAATTGTTACGTTCTATTTTTCTTTTTGAATTTTGATGCCTTCCTTTAAACTAATAAGGATGTATTCTTTTCCTAGTTGGTCTTATGGGTAAGTATTAAAAGAAACATATAACTTAAGTTTGCTTTTCTTTGTACTGTCAAGCACACCTTGAATTCCTAATGGTGCTCATCATTGTGCTAGGTAGGGACTGTGGAAGATAAAGAACAACAGTCTAATTTACAAAGTGTTTCTTCATACCAGGAACTGTTGGTGGCTTTACATGTTATTTCATTTATGCTCACACTAACCCTATGAAATAGGTACTATCCCTATTTTATGGATGTGGAAATTGAGACTCAGAAGTTAAGAACTTGTCCAAAGCTCCCCAGCTAGTAAATGCCTGAGCTGGGACCTGAACACATGCTCTATTTTAATAGTGTTCTTCAAACATGTTTGCCTAATTTTCTCTTAAAATTTTGAAAAAGCTACTGTATTCCTTGTGCATTTTAAAACTGACTTAACATTTTTTAAATTACAAATTGAGAAAGTTGTAGAGGATAATTTTTGTTTGTTTTGTTGATATAAAATAAAAATTTTTTTTTACTCACTAGGATCTAAATAGCCACCAATTGTACATTCAGAAATGCTTGAGCAAGCCCTTCATTAATAGTTGGAACTTTAATATTGTATCTTTTCCACTGAGCTCATATGTGCATCCTACTTTCTCTGCATAGTTTTATCACAATTTGTATATTTTATGTTGAAGTCTTATTGATCATGCCATCATTTCTCTACAATAAAAACAAGGAACTAAATTGAAATTGATCATATTAAAAATTTCCTGTTACCATTAAGCTTTCTTTTATACTAAATGAATGTTTTGTAGTGTAACATTTTAATTCCTTTAATGATCTCTTAACTTTTTTAATGGTTTTCTTGGTGGTTGCTCTTGGGCTTACTGTACTGATTTTATCAGTATCACCTTCAGATAATCATTAGGTTTTAAGTTGTTGAAATTTTTCTTCTGGATTGTGTCATTACAATTTTTGTAAGTGTGCTGTTGATTAAAACAATGTAAATATGTTATACATTTGAATAATTAAATATAAAAACTTCCATTGGAAATTTATTTCTTAATGATATGGGTGTGTCGTTTCATCTTCCCTCAGTTCATGTATCCATAGATTACATATACATACAATTAGAGTTTGATAGGGCTCAGCATAAATTTCAGTCTAAATTTTTAATATAAGCTTAAGAAATGCTGATGCCATAAATAAGTAAATGAGAACTGAAGGGCTTTTGCCCTGTTGGTATCACTTAGTTGTTTGAATTTTTTTGAGTGTCAGGCTAAGTATATGCATAAGATAGGAAAGGACCAGAAAAATTACTGGTGGCCGTGCTTGAAGATTTTTATACCAGAGGCAGTGCGTAAGGGAGAATTCAGGAGGGGAAAAAGGTCATCTGTTTTGGCTGAGTGAGAACAGGAGATTGGACAAGGGAATGTGGGAAGGGAGACCCACTGTGATGCCACTGCTGTAGATACTCTTCTCGGGAAGGTCAATTTTAAGAAAGAGTATATTTAGAGATTGAGGATCTGGATGTTTATCCCTTGAAACCGTCTGTGCCCATGTACTCTAAGAAGGTTGTAGGCTTACACAAACACCAATATGCAGAAAGCCTTTTAAAGTAGTAACCTCCAATGATAAAACATGAACCAGTGTTCAAGCGTTAGGTTTGTACACAAAGATTTATGACATTACCATCCTTACACAGCATAGCATGCAGGAAGTACCTTACCTATCAGTCGCCATTTGGTAAATATTTGTTATTCTGATGCATTTGGTTTTCTGTTAACGATTTATTTCCATTGTGTCTTACCACAGTCTGGTTTGCCTTACCACTCCACTGAAATTCCTCTCGGTGGGATTGCCAGTACCCTAAAGATCACTAAATACAGTGGACGTTTAAACATCTTAACTTCTAGTTAGCTTTTGTTACATTTGACCAGTCTTCTCTTTATATTGTCTCTTCCACAGTTTTCTGGGATATGAGGCTCTCTTGATTTTCCTTCCACCTGTTTACTTTGCAGGTTCTTCTTTCTTAACCTTTTTCTTAAATGTTGATGTTTATCAGGATTCTGTCCTAGCCTGTTATTTTTATTCTATGTAAGTCCCCAAAGGCCATCCCTCCTCACCCTGTAGCTTCATTTACCTTCTCCATTTCTAATGCCTTTCTGTATTTCTGGCCCAGATGACTCTCAAACTCTAGACCAGCCCCTCCTAGACATCTTCATCTAGATATCTGCTTAAATGTACTCTCTGAAACTGAACTCCTTATCTCCCCCTGACCTGCTTCTCTACACACCACTGTTTAAGCAGTTGCTCAAGCCAGCAACCTGGGAGTCATTCTTCATTCTTTCTTTTCTTTACCTGGCACAATGCCAGTTAATTCTACTTCCTGATGTATTACAAAAATCCGTTCTCTTCTAACTGTCCTCAGTGTCACTATTCTTGCCAAACGATTCTCTAACTTTTCTTACTCATAACAGCCTTTCTGCCAGAGTTTTGCTTTCCTCCAATACATGCTCCATGACAGCAGGAGTGGCCCACTAAAAGTCCTACTCTCCCCCTAGTATCCTTGCTTGAAATCATTCAATGGCTTCACTTTGCCCTTGAGACAAATGAGACTCTTTAGTATGAATTGCAACGCTCTTTAGATTCCACTCTCCCTTTCCTAGGCAGCTGTGTCTCTGGCTCATCACTCTGGTCCCCTACACTAAAGCCTAAAGCAGCTTTTCTTTATCAGATAACTCCTTCATCTCAAATATTTGTGTTCGCACTTTTTGACTTAACGCTTTCTTTGAATTCTTCCACATTCTATTTTCTCTGCCTGGCCCACTTTGCCTGGTTAACTCCTCCACCTTCTCTGGTCTCGGTTTCCCATAGCGTTTCCTCAGTTGCGTGTGTCTTTCCTGGTAAGCTATCTTGTGAGCTTAGGGAGGACCAGGGATCGTATCTTGGTTTCTGCTTTCTTTATCCTTAGTGCCTGACACATACATGAGCATATTCAACATTTTTGAGTAAGTTAATAATTTTGAGTTCTTGTTCTTGTTTTGATTTCAAAATCCATTTGGTTTTTCTCTTTAGTGTCTCAATGAGATCCTGGAGTCAGCAGATGCGCCTTTAGAAGTCACTGAAGGATTCATACAGTCAATTTCTCTGTCAGTTCCATGGGGCTCCTTGCTACAGGATAATTGTGCACTGGAAGTGAAAGGGTTAGAAATGGTCTTCCGCCCTAGACCTCGCCTAGGTAGGTGTGTTATGTGTTTTCTGTTGTATGTGTTTCTATTTTTACTCATCAGAGATTGGGAAAGTAACCTCATTACATTAACTTCAGTATTTAATTTATTACTTAGGATTGCATATGTGAAATTTTCCAAAGATAAAATTAGGACTTGGGTCTTGTAAGGTGTATGTGACTGTACCCTTAGAGTTATTTCTTTTCCTGTTTACCCCTGGGAACTTTAGTATTAGATGACTTGGTTTAATTTTTGTTTACCACTTATCTAAAGTGACTTGTGTTTTAAAGATCCAGAGTATTGTGCTAGAAAGCAAGGGAGTACTCAAAGACAGATGGAGAAGTGTTAAAAGGACACAGGATTGGGCTTGAGGGGGCTCTTGTTGGCCAAATCTGGGAAAACTCAAGTAACAGAATAATGACAATGATGCATTATAACACTCTAAGAAGAAAGCCCCAACTCTATCTTGATACAAATAAATAAATATGTAAGGGGGATAGAGAGAAGGGAAAGCTCTTCATTGCATTAGAATACCTACTAATAAACATAGGAAAAAAAATCAAGTTTTCAGCCACTCTATAGTAAAAATTGATACAAATGAGAGTTATCAATGAATGATAATACCATTTGGTGAAAGGTCTTTGGGGAGTTTGATATTAGATGGTATCAAAATACCTCCCACTGATTACATATTGTTTACAAAAGGAAAAAAGTTTCTTTCACAGCAGAGAAAATTGACAGTCACTATGATAACAGTGATTCAGCCTCATCAGTAGTGGGTCATGTGTGTGTCCTGATGTGATGGATTAAGAAGGACATGACATCACTTATGTACTGTGTACTGTTCCTGCTTAAAGTGCTTTATCCGAGTTAAAGTAGAAGGAAGCAGACAAATCCAAAAGAAGGGAAATTCTATAAATTTAACTAGTTGGTACTCTTAAAAAATATCAGTATCATGAAACACAAGACAGGTGGAGGAACTTTTCAGATTAAAGGAAACTAAAGATGTGAATAATTGCAATTTATATTCCTGGTTTTCTCTATGAAAGGTTACTGGGGCATACGAGGAAATTTGAGTATGGAATACATATAGGATAGATGATGTGTCAGTGTGATATTTCTGGGGGTGCTAATGGTAATGAGCTTTTGCAGAATGTTCTTGTTCTTAGGAGTTACAACGTGTTGCAGTATTTAGGCATGAGTGTTATGTCTGCAAATTTACCTTTAAATAGTTTGGCAAAAGTGTGAGAGTGTGTATGTATTTTTGTGTGTATGTGCATGGAATCTTTGTGAATCTAGGTTAAGGGTATTGCTCATTGTACTATTCTTTCACCTCTCTCTTGGGATTGAAAATTTTCAGAAGGAAACCTTGGGAGGGAAACATTTTAAAGCCATAGTAAGTCATTGTTTACAAGTATTCTGAGTGTGGTACTTTTAATTACGTATGTGTTTTTCTGATCTATCAAACCTGTAGGAAGTGCTTCCTTGCATACCAGATACTATTCTAACTGCTTTACAAATATTATCTTCACAACGGCTCTTTGCAATAGATACTTTTTATAATCTCCATTTTACAGAACAGGGAATTGAAGCACAGATAAATTTAAAAGCTTGTCCAAGGTCATAACTAGCCAAGTGCAGAAGATGGGATCTGAACCCAGGCAGTCTAGTGTGTGTGCGTGTGTGTGTGGTGTAAACCCATATAGTCATGATGGTAAGTCATCTTAAATTCATCTTAAATTCTGCTCTCAGTGACAAGTGATGTTTGCAAACATATACTGGAAGAATTATAATCCTACTACTATCTGAAACACCAAGGTTTAAATTGTGTTTACTAGAATTATAGCACCTGTATTTTTTTATTGATGATAATTGACATACAATATCCTATTAGTTTCAGGTGTACAAAATCTAGTCACTGCCTGTCACCATGCAAAGTTATTTCAGTATTATTCACTGTTCCCTATGCTGTGTATTAAATCCACATGACTTATTTATTTTATAACTGCGAGTTTGTACTTCCTAATCACCTTCACCTTCTTCAGCCACCTAACCTCTCCCCAGTCATGGCACCTTATTTTGAAAATTTAATCTGCATATGGAATAATAATCCTTAATAATCCTCTTTAATAATCTGGTATTTAATAAGAATATCTTTTAAGCATGATGAGTAGATACAATACTTTCCTATGGGAAGTTAAATATTTTTCCCTTACTTTACAAGCATTCTATTAAAAGAAATTATTTTAAATTCCATTTTGGAAGGCAGTAGTTCTGGCAATCTCTTTCAATTTGGTTTGAATAATTTAAGGAAGTATTCCCTCATCAAGGGAGATCTGGAAAGGACTTTTCATAGTTCCTTCATCTAAAGATGCTCTTCTGTGTTATCTACATTTATACTAACCTAGTCAGCTGCCTAGGTCAGCTGCTGTCCCTATCAGATTTCCTATTATTTCCCTGAGCTTTAGAAGAGTTAACCTCTTCTCTTAGCTGTCAAAATATTTTCTGTTGACATTTAGTAGTTGCCTACTAATTCTTCTTAATCATATCTCATTTCCTCCCCTATATTGTAGGCTCTCTGAGGGCAGAATTGGTAATTTTTAATTTTTTCTATCTCCTACAGCTAGGTCGTTTAACTATGGCCTGTAAGCCTATCTGATTTGTCACCTGTTTTTGTAATAAATTTTTATTGAAACACCACCATTACCCATTCATTTATTCATTCTTTCTGGCCTCTTCTGCACTAGAGTGAGGCATTTGAGTAGTCATGATAGAGACCATATGGCCAACAAGAGAGAAAATATTCATTGTCTGACACTTTACAGAAAAAGTCTGTTGACTCTTGCTCTACAGTGTTTTGAATAGTACTGTGCATTGATAAATACCTGCCGAGTACTTGTTGAATGAATACATGAAGTAATGTTTGGCATGTAGTGAGAACACATGTCTCTGGACATTTTTCAATGGTCTTTTTTTCTTAGTTATTGCAAGGGGACATTTCAATCTCAAGTAATTTCTAGAATATTGTATCCCTTGGTAACAATATGATGTTAAATATCTTGTGGGTTAAGAATTTACGTATTTGAAATGTGCTGTTTTAAGAAATGGCTTTGTTTTAACTATGAGAAATTGTTTAGGATGAATCTATATTTTCTGCAGCAACCGGTACTGAGCCTATGTATTGGTCAAGTCTCATGACCAGCAGTATGCAGTTGGCAAAAGAATGTCTTAGCCAGAAACTAACAGATGAACAAGGAGAAGGATCCCAGCCTTTTGAAGGACTTGAAAAGTTTGCTGAAACCATTGAAACAGGTTTGGTGTTATTGAGTATTTTTAAAAATTTTAGATTTTATTTAATTATTTAGTACTCAATTTAGTAAGCCTCGTATAAGAAAAATCCACTGGAGTGATTTTTCAAAGGATTACTGTTCTCAATTCAGAACTTTAGAATTGAAGTTATTTTAAATACTAAATTTTATTTCATGTTCTTTGTACCCTAGTTTCTCCTTTTCTTTTATTCTTGTATAATGAGGGGATTAGAATTCAACAGATGGTCCTAGTCATTGATCCATGTGTCTGTTGACATATAACATGGCCAAATGTTTAGTAAGGCAAAATATTTATTATAAAACTCAGGATTTGGGGATTTTTAGGCAAAGAAATTCAGCTTTTTTATTTTGTAAATTCTGATTAAACTAATTTAGTATTTATTCCTTTCATTAGAAGTTTTTATTTAGTATACATACGGTCTCATGTTGATGGTTACCTGTTTACTCTAGTACTAAGAAGAGTAAAAGTCACGTTTATAGACACTGTCTTGAGAATTGAACATGTGCCAGAAAATTCCAAAACTGGAACTGCACTTGAAATTCGAATAGAAAGGTAAGACTTCTTAATATCTGAAAACAACCCTATTCGTTTCCTTTATAAGTAATAAAATCTAACTCTCTCATTAGATTTCACGATGCTTTTTGGAGATTAGAGGTGATGATATTAAATTAATAGATTTCCTAATTTCAAAGTAAAATGCTGCTTTCCAAATTATGTTCTAATACCATTATTGAAAATTAAAAGGACCAGTTGGATGTAACTATATATAGTTCTATGTTAAATTCAACACAAGTAATTCTTTTTTAGTTAATATCAAATTAAAATAATATTTGAGTGGTGCAAATTTGAGGCACTTCTGTTGGAGTTTTTTCATAGGAGCAATGCCTACTTAGGCATGTGTCCTTAATGTGAAAGGCCTTTTTGCTTTCCTGTGCTTAATCTAAATGCTGCTTTAGTGAGAAAGCCTAAGATTACTATTTTTTGTGTATTTTTTTGAGGATTATGTGAGGCATTTTAAGGTCAATATGTGCCGTAATGATTTACTTACAAATATATTAACACATCACTTAGTTTTCTAGATATGCACACTTGGAGGCCCCATAAATATAGCTCTAAAAGAGGGACTGATTTACAAATATACTCCGAGTGTTGATTTGAGGTAGTGACTGCTCATCTGTGTCTTCATGGCATATGAACTACCAACAGAAATAAGCAGCATGAAGTATGTACACTGAGCATCAGTGACACTTTGTGTATGGATCTGTTGGGGGCCTCTACTAAATTTTAAGCAGATACATTATGGTTTCTGTTTTTCACAGAAAGTGAAGCAGGTTTTGTTAACAGATCTTTGAGACTGGCTTACATTACCTTATATGGTATATTAAAAATATCTAAAATCTTATGCACTTAGAACTATATTCTGTATTTTGTTTAAACTGAGATTAGTCATAAGAACTCTTAGACTAATTATAAGAACTCCAGTGGTATCTTTTATGCCAGACTTGTTACTTGGAACCCAATGCTGCCTTACTGTTATCAAGGAATCTTTGTGAGGGAGTACAAGAATTGTTTCCCCAAGTTTAGGAGCCTTATAAAGTTACCCTCCTTTGGGTTAAGGTCTCTTCATGAAAACATTTACGGAAGTAAAGTGTGGTAATACTGACCCACATTACAGGCATGTGCCAACACCTGCTGCATTTTAAAAGCTCTGTGCATTTCTTCTGTTTGTCAGTAGGCTTTCCTAGGTATTTTATGCAGTGCTCTTTTTGTTGGTGATGTCCAGGACCATGTACTGTGATGAAACTGCTGATGAACCCTCAGGAATCAATGTACACCAGCCCTCAGCTTTTGCTCACAAGTCTCTTCAGCTCTCTGGAGTGTCTCTTTTCTGGGATGAGTTTTCTGCATCAGCAAAATCTTCCCCAGTGTGTTCAACTGCACCAGTGGTACGAAAAACAAAAACCAGAAAACTGAAAATGAATTCATACAGTTTTAAAAGGTTTAAGTGAGGGCTATTATATTTTGTTAGGATATACAATATGTGTTAATGAATTTCTGTCTGATCTGGAAGTTCACACAAATTTTCAGTAATGGGGATGTATATTTTCAGAGACTTTTAAAATACTCATAATTAGTCCCTTTCATACCAATGCTGTATATTAATTTGATAGAGAAGCATTGGATACTATGTCTTGGGGGAAAATGGTATATAAACATATTATGTTTTTTTAACAGCAAAAATAGGAAATCAAGCATTTACCTTACATAATGAATATATTGCTGAAAATTTATCTTACCAACCATTGTATAAAGCTTTCAGAAGCTTTATAATTAAGGAACTCTGCTATTCCTTTTTAAGAATAGAGGGTCCTTTTCTAAGTCAGACTTCTATAATTTACTTTTGACATAATTTTGCAAATCAGATTTTCTTATAGAGTGTAATTAAGTTTTCTTACTGCTATAATTTGAGCAGATACTTGTTTTCTTCATAATATCTTTTTCCACAATTTTCCTTTACTACCAGAGTACTATGCTAATATACTGCTGTGTTTCATGCTAGCTCCAAGATATTGGCTTATCCATTTTTGCATAATACAATTTTGTATGTCAAGTGTTCTCTTTAGGTTGACATTTGTATTTTACATTTCAGTTTATTTATGCTAAAGTGTTTTGAAGAATTACTTTGTTCTTATTGCACTATTGTAGGAATCTGAGCCGAAGCTGTCACCTAGCTGGAATCCCAAAATTGTTTATGAGCCACACCCACAACTAACTAGAAATTTACCAGAGGTAGCACCCTCTGACCCAGTGCAGATTGGAGGGCTAATTGGTAGGTTGGAGTTGAGTCTCACACTGAAACAGAATGAAGTACTTCCTGGAGCAAAGGTGAGTATTTTATTTTCTATAGCAAAAAACAAAACTACAAGTGTCCTTTAATCTCTGCATTGACCCAATGATTGGTTACTTTAGATTATGCTGTAGCTGGGGTGCCTGCTGCCCTTGAGTCGACAGTTTTAATCTGAGCAGGCTCTCTGTCCTTGGGTCACAAAGTCATGTGGGGCTGTGGTGCCCTTTTGCTTCAGCTTGGGTTTTAGTGCTGCCTCCTGCACTCATTTTCCAGTATTCTGGCAGTTCAAAAACATTCATTAGTTGAGAGATAACTCGGAATTCATTAAAGAATCTTTCTATCATAAAATTAAATGTTTTAAAGAGAAAAGATTTGGAAAACAAGAAGTTGACTATAGAAGATGTTTAATTATATGTATGTAAAAATGTCCATCTCTTCTAGAATGACTTTTTGTAGTTGCATACTGTTTATGAAAAGAGATTGTTTTATGATGTCTCATAGCTTGGAGAAGATGCTATAATAAAGACAGCTGCACTTGTTTCTTAAGGAACAATATTGAACAGTCTGCTGGAGAATCAGGGAACTTGGCATTTATTTAGTCAGTTAAAGACGTATTTGTCAAGTGTTATTTTCAGACTTTGAAAATCGATTTTCTATATAATCTCTATAAAAATGTAGTTTAAATTAAGATAGCAGGATTTATTCATTGTCTTTTATTCACTGATCTAACTAATACATGTTCAAGTGACTACTGTATGCCAGGCCTTGTGCAAGTTCTTGGGACAGATGCGGAGATGAGTGGAATACAGTCTTTACCTTAATGAAAGATATAATAAGGGTATAGAAATTGCTGTGGGAACAGAGAGGAAGGAGCCACTGAGTGCATGTGAATGTGCATAAAAAGGTTTTCAGAGGATTAAAGGTTCCCAGGAGTCCTTTCCTGGATCGGAATGGCTGACTAGAGTTGGAGGGGGGTTCTTACCGATTACCCCCCTCCTCTTGGTCCACTGCTCCACTTCAGATGGCATGGAATCCTCTCACCAGGTCTTAATGCTCTTCATAAAATAACGTGATGGGATGGTTAATGGAGCAGAAAGCCCTAGGTATGTGTAAACACTGTGGGGAATCCCTTCGGTGGGAACATCCTTGGGAAACTAGTACACCCATGCCTCTGGGTTTGCTACATCTCTAAGGAAGAATCACAGCAATAACTTTTATAGTAGTGTTTTGATAAATTATAGTCTTCAACATTTGTATGTTTGATCTTTGTGCATACCCAAACTTTTGCACATTATATATTGATTTGTATGAATGCCTTTTAGGTGTTACTTCTGGACATCTGTGTATATTAGGTGACAGGTGAACGTATGGAACTAGTGCATGGTGGCATTGTTGCCTGCCAGGGTTTGATATTTGGAGATACTACTGTCCTTGTGTATGTGGTAATTTTTGTGTAACAATTGGAGTGTTTGAGTATGTTTTCTCTTACTTAATGAAAATGAGTGCTAAATAGGAAAATAAAAGTTCTGGATAGTAGCATTGAGAAGCATAAATTGCAGACACTTAATGCTGTATGGACAGAGATGGCATTGGTTGGGAGTGCTTCAAGCGACAGTCTTCCGTTCTTTCCTGTATTCATTAGATGTAAATTTTTCAACTTTGGGTTCAAAATGTTATGGAATATTTCATGTGTTTTTTAGTTCTCTGAACTAGTACCCATCTCAAAAAGTACTTAAGTCCGCTGTTTCACATATTCAGTTTTAGCATGGTTTTAGGAATGCATTGTATGCAAGAATAGGGGCCTGCCTATGTTGAATTCACAGACATTGTGTTTCAATTACTGTGTTACACTGAGTTTGAAATTTGTTTAGTTTTTACATTTCATCTTTTATATTTTCAGAAGAAAGCAATATACACTTTTTTCTATGTATGCCAAACTCAGAACATGCTAATGATATTTCTATGAAAATTAGAAATGAAACTCTTGGTTGTTCATTCTAGGAAAGGTCATAAGTTATTTTTCAATACTAAGAAGTTAAAAAACAATTAAAAAATTTGGTATATAACCAGAAATAGATTTTCCTATTTTCCCCAGCCTCAACTCCTTGCTGAATCATGGCTTGTGATGTCAGCAGTCAGTAAGGAGGCCCATAAAACAAGTCTTCTGTGGGCAGACGAGAGAGCGTGCATGCCATGGGAGAAGTGAGGGCTCTCCATCGGGTCAGCCGAAGTTAAAATCCTGGCTCTGGATCTGTTAGGTGGCTTTGTGGAAGTCACTTAATCTTTGTGAGCCTGTTTCCTCATCTGTAAAGCAGGAAAAGAATGAGAGGAAATACAGTAAAAGCAGTTAACATAGTGCCCCAATAGTAACAAAAAAAAGAGATAATTATTATTGGAGAATGTATTATATTCTTAGATCATGGACATGTCTTATAGTCACTGTGTAGTGTATTTTATCTTTTGTTTTTAGCATAGGAAGAAATTTTTCTCCTGGGAAGATATTTTCCAAATATAAACATGTTTTATTAATTGGATCATTTAAAAATGGCCAAGTAGTGTGATAATAATTAGTATTAGAACAAGAGGGAGTGAATGAAAAGTAAAGCAGGTGTATTCAGCATTTTAGAATGTGATATAGAAAATGAAGTAATTGCTTTTGTCAGAATATACTCCCCAGGAATCAGGATGCGAGTGGGATGGGAAAAATGGATGGAGTTGGAAAAGAGAAGGGAAGTCCACATGAGCGCTCTTTACCATTGGCATTTCTGCTGTGTCTTACACTCCGTGCCCAGTGGAGAGCGGGCTTTGTGAGACGCAGTGAGCACGTAGAGGGGCACGCTGTTGGCAGAGAATGCCCTTACTTGCTCTGTTAAGGAGTGTTACCCATGAGCAAACTAAAGACAGCCAACTTGATTTCGTTTGAATCAAGCTTTAAGATTACGATTTGGGTCTTTTGAAATCATGGTGGGAGTGAATACTGTACTACTGCTATCTTAATATTCTTTCTTGGAGACTGTGTCTTAAAGCCTCCTCAAATTCCTTAAGTACTCAGAAAACTTAAAGAGACGAAAAGTATGACATTGGACTTGCGAACATAGAATTTCTCAGGAGAATTTTCCCTCTTAGGATGAGTTTGGTGGCCTTTAGGTCTTTTCATTTAGACTGAGAATAAGTAGAGAGAGAGTCTTAGGAGGCTAAATAATCATTATCTATCTCACCTGGGAGTTGTGGTGATGAAGTTATATTCATCTGGAATTTTTTTTTCCCCGAAGTTGGATATTGATGGACAGATAGACTCTATTCATCTATTCCTGTCGCCAAGGCAGGTGCACTTACTTTTGGACATGTTAGCAGCAATTGCCGGACCAGGCAAGTATAACTGTGTTGTTATTTTTAATTATGTAAAACTTCTTAGTTAAAATATACAATATGCATATAGGAAATCCTGTTATTATAGAGGAATGTGTGAAATTAAATATGTATTGTAAATAAGAATCTTAAATAGTTAAATTTGATGGGATCTTTCAAAGTGTGCTACTGTGGCACAAACTGGCATTCAGATCATTTGTGTCACACATTCTTTTTCAAAATTGACTAATGCATTGGTTGGGAATAGTACTTCCTACAACTGAGAAAGTACTATTCTTGAACACAGTAAATAGTACACATTTAAAAATACTTTTAGTGACTTTACTATCAAAGGTAAGATTTTGTGATTCCTAGCGAGCTGCTTAAATCTATTGCTTAGATCTCTGATTAATGTTAAATAGAGGTGGGCTTGTTCTGTCTGTGGTATTGAGTTGCTGTTAGTATTGGATAAGTGGGTTTTGAGGGAGAAGTGATGAATTGACTCCAAGTTTAATTACTGTTTTTCTTTCCTTTTGTATACTTTTAGAAAATTCTAGCAAAATAGGGTTAGCTAATAAAGATAGAAAAAATCGACCCATGCAGCAGGAAGACGAATATCGAATTCAGATGGAATTAAACCGGTATTATTTGAGAAAAGATTCCCTTACTGTGGGTGTATCTTCAGAGCAAAGCTTTTATGAGACAGAAACGGCTCGTACACCTTCTAGCCGTGGTAAGCGACTCAAAAAGTTAACACCAGAATCATGTGTTATCATCATAAAATAAACTAAAACTTTGGCTGCTATGAAATAGAATTTAGTAATGAAGGAACAAAAGATCTATGCTGTAAGAAATTCTTAAATTCATAAGTCGACCTCACTATATAGTATTACAGCCCTGTGCTGGCATGTGTGTGCTAAGAAACTTCCTTTGATTGTGTAGTTTTGTTTTGTAAATCATGATTTATTTTAAAGGAAGTTAATTTACAAAAATGTAGATTTATACAAAAGATAAATTGCAGGTAATTATTCACATTTTGTCAAATTCTTATGTGCTTCCATAACGATTTACAGTCGATTCTTTTAAATAGGAACCTTTCTCTATTAATCTATCAGTTATATATAAAAGTAATCTTTACCCAGTTTACTTGGCATTTACAGGTGTTTCATAATGTATAAGTACTAATACCATAAATGATAATCATTAAGCATGGAATATCAAACTACATAAAAAATATAAAGTGTACTAAGAAATTTAGGCCATAACAGACCTCATTTGCATAAGGGTAAAACAGTCTCCAGAAAGAATAAGTGAAATGTAAATAGAATTCTAAATAACATATTCAGCTTTAAGAAAAAGTAGCTTTATTCATATGAAACCAGAGACTGAAAGATACTTATAAACTTTTAAAGTCTGAATTTTAACTCCTAAATTGTCATATGACATTTAAAAATATACCATGTAATACTGCACATCATATATTGAAAAAAATTTCACCAGTAGGATAGTGTAACCTTGTATTAACCTACATTCAGGTGAGCTTTTGTTAATGCTGTTTATAACTTGGACCCAAATCAGTGACCTTGTTGGAAGTAATATAAATTTTAGGGCATCACTGTATTTCAGATAATCTGAAGGAAGGAAGTTATATTAATGTAAATTACCTTACTTTAAAAACCTGAATTGCTGGAGTTATAATACTACTGACAAAGCTTAATTCTCTCCAGAAGAAGAAGTTTTCTTCTCCATGGCTGATATGGACATGTCCCATAGTGTCTCTTCTCTCCCACCCCTTGGTGACCCTCCGCACATGGACCTTGAGTTGTCTTTAACTAGTACATACACCCCAGCAGGATCTCCGTTAAGTACGACTGTGGTAAAGTATTATCTTTGTTCTGTTCTTGAAAAGTTGCTTTTAAAATCCATGACTTTATTCATGCACTTCAAAAAAATTCCTTTATAGCTCCAGCCAGCATGGGGAGATTTCCTTGATCAGCATAAAGAACAGCCAGTGAGAGGGTCAGCATTGCCGTCCAGCCTAGTTCACCCGGCACCTTTACAAAAGACTGGTGAGCAGTGTAAGACAGTTGTTGATAGTTTCCACTGGAATTTAAACAAATTGTAAAAATAAGAAAAATTTCTTTTTAAAAAATACATTCTGCTGCTTCTGCTTCATAAAATTTCTTTTTGGTCTAGGCCTTTTAATAAAGTTTAAAAAGAATATGAAGCATTGATGGACAATTCACTGTGAAGTGTTTTAGAATAGTCGCTCATTCATTGTATTCTTTGTATATTTAAATATCTAAATATTTTTAGTAAAAAGTACACTGTAAGTTTTATTATTGCTGCTTAGGAGTCTCAAACAACCATCTGGTTTTTGTTTCGCTACTTATACTTTCCTTGAAAGAGAATCTCAGGTTTCTTTTCAGTAAAATTTAATTGACGTAGACACAAGGCTTAAAGGAAAATTTGATGAATAACTTCTGGTTGATCTCTGGCTTTCCAATACAGTTTTATTAATGCAAAAGCTTGTTCATATATTTCCTTTTGAAGTATCAAGGATCCTGGATATAAAATGCAGAAAGCTAATAGTTTATCTTGCCCGTTTTGTATCATTCAAACTGTTGTGTGATAACCTTTTCTTAAAATAGTACATGAGTACATGTTTTATCATTTTGATAGAATGAATTGTTTATAAGTGTTAAATTTTATGTGTATGATTTTAACACCTGTATTTCAGCTCTCCCATCCAGATCTGTTTCATTGGATGAATCCAGGCCTGAACTTATTTTTAGACTAGCGGTGGGAACTTTTTCCATTTCTGTGCTTCATATTGATCCTTTATCTCCGCCTGAAACGTCATTGAACCTTAATCCATTGACACCTATGGCCATAGCTTTCTTTGCTTGTATAGAAAAGATTGATCCAGCAAGATTTTCAACAGATGACTTTAAGTCTTTCCGAGCAGTATTTGCCGAAGCTTGCTCACATGATCACCTTAGGTAAACTCTCCCATACTTATTAATGATCCTTGAAAAAGAACCAAGTGTGGACTTCTGTGTCCATCTACCTACCTATCTCCATTTGTTTTTGTAATTTACATCTTATTTGTGAATGAGTGGAATGAATGAGGTTTTCTTAACAATGCTGCAAAGATGTTTACCATATAATCTCTCATTCAGGTTATTTGGCATATCAAACAATTCAAATATAAGATCAAGATAATCTGGTATATTCTATATTTAGCTCCTTGCCCTGCTCTTACCAGATTTCTCTGACCACATTTTACCATTATCCCCACTGACATTAAAATCATAAAAATAGTTCTTGTTTTTACTGGCTTACCAGAGATAGCAGTAGGTGGAAAAAATAGAATCAATTAATGAGGAAGGACTTGGAGGTGATCCATATGCCACTGGCCATGGGGCGGGAAATGACACTAGGGCTGATCCTGAGTTTGGACACTACGTTTTCAACATCTGCATAAAAAGTGAAAGCTGTCCAAATAGCCAATGATCTTTTCATGGTTGAATCTTAATAGATGAGGGTATAATTAAATTTGTCAATGTATTGTTAATATGCAAATACTATTTATTTTAACATCAAAGTGACCTATAAATTGTCTAGTCATGTTATTCTATACAGTGGTTTAGACACCTATATTAATATTTATAGAAAATAATTTAGCCTTTTATTTTTAACATATTAAAATTAATATGTAAAGTTGTTTCAATACCTAGCAAAAAAAACTTTATAATTTAAGACCATAATTTTTACAATCAAACTTTGAAAGTATTTTTTCTTCCCATTTTTGACAAGGTTTCAAATATCTGCCAATAGGAAATATAACAAAAGCAATGAAAACTAAAGGTAGACCTTCATTTGAGCTCCACTGACTAAAGTTTTAAAACTATTTCATGATGCTTTTAGATAAGTTTAAGGAGCTGTTACATATATTTTACAGATTTGAAAGATTTTGTCCACTGCAGTGTAAATTTTAAAATGTGGAAGAAGGAAGGGCAGTGTTGGGAAATAAATATATCCTGAGTGAAATTTCCTTTCAACAGAACTGATTTCTGTATCTTATGTCAGAGAATGGGCAATTTGAAGTAATCTTTCTGGTTAATGCCTTTGGTATTAGTTGTTATTAACAACTTGAACTTGTCAGAATAGGTGGGTAATTGTTATACTCTGTTAACATTTGTGTACTATTCTTTGATACATTATTTAATCTAGAAGTATATGAATACTCTTAAATGCTGCATTTTTTTATAATAGATTTATAGGTACTGGCATCAAAGTATCCTATGAACAAAGACAAAGATCAGCTTCCCGGTATTTTAGTACTGATATGTCCATTGGGCAAATGGAACTTTTGGAGTGCCTGTTTCCGACTGATTTTCATTCTTTTCCTCCTCATTATACAGAGGTAAATTCTAGGTATCTTTTTCTTTAGCATTATTCTTTAAATCTGTCTTGATTTTTAGGAGTTGTATGAGCAATGATTTCTTACAGTACAAGAATGTCATACTTAGAGTATAGGAAGGCATATTTGCGTGGCTGTGTGTGTGTGCATTTGTGTTTTGTTGAAACAGATGTTTAAGTATGGCATTCAAGGCCATTATTAGAGTCTGTTAGAGTTTTTCATTTAGAATTGACTTGTTTTAGAGTAGCAGACAGGTTATGGGAAGTTGTTTCATTTCACTAATTTTCCAAGCACTCTTAATTTTGGAAGAATTCTGTTATTCGACAAATACTGAATTCCTACTGTATGAAAGCACTGTTCAAGAGAAGTGAAATGTCTTTTGTTCATTTATTATTAATCATAATCATAAAAACATGTCCTAGTGAAACTTTTCAAAGATCTCAAGATAATATTTATTGCTGTTATTTTGCCCTTATGTATTTTTATTTTATTTTCAAAGCATTTCCTTAGGCATTAACTTACTTGAATTCTCACCTACTATATAAATAAAATTGGTGTGTGTACAAAAATAATGGATAGAAATATACCAGATGAGATAGTAAATATCTCAGCAACTAAATAAACTGCCTAAGATTCACATTGCTAGTAAGTGACAAAAATAAACTTAAAGCCAGCTCTCTTGACTTCAAAAGGCGCATCCCACTATTATATTAGCATGTCTGTTAATTCGTATGATTAATTAGAGCTTAATATCTTACTTTTAATTTATCTTCATTTTTGTTTACAAGCTTTTAATGTTCCATTCTAAAGAACAAACTGATTCCCATCCTCCTGTATGTCTTCAGCTTCATTACAAGCATTCTGAGACTAAAGGACCCCAGGTAAGAAATCTTTTTGTGAGATTACTACCTATACATTTTCATTTGATATATATTTTGTCATAATTGTAAGGTCTTCACTTAATTTTCTGGTGTTGTTAGTGATCAGAATAATGTTTTTTTTTTTTTAAAGGGTAGTCAAGCAAGACTTAGTTCTGTTCCTCAGAAAGCAGAATTGCAAATTAAGTTAAATCCAGTATTTTGTGAGCTGGATATCAGTATTGTGGACAGGTTAAATTCCTTGCTTCAACCACAAAAACTTACTACGGTGGAGATGATGGCATCTCACATGTATACTTCATATAATAAACATATTAGTCTGGTAAGTATTCAAAAGGTACAAATATCAAAATTATAGCTAGCAAATAAGCCTGTTGGATCATTTCTGAGCTTACATTCTTAATACATAGCATATGTTATTAAAACATTATTTATAATAATAAAAAAAATTGACGTGTCTTTTCTGTCTAGATAGTAGCTATCTAAATACATTATGCCAATACACTGAAATTTCATGCAGCCATTTTCAATGATGGTTTTAAAGGTGATGCAACAATATGAAGAAGGCTCAAGAAGTATTAATTGAAAAAGTAGAATCTGTTATTCCATGTAACCTTTTATTGCAACTATATAAATAAAATTGGTGTGTGTACAAAAATAATGGATAGAAATATACCAGTTGGCAGCATTGGTCATGTGAGAGTAGTAGAATTAGTTCTGTCTGTTTCAGTGTTTATCTGAGTTTTATAAACATTATATCTGCACAAAGTTTATCACATATTTAATGAATTACTTGATCTACCTATAAAATGTAGCCCATATAATACAGGATATACTTTTGAAATTGAGAATGTAACTTACAGTATTGTGTTATTGAGCATTATATTATATCACTTTTACTTAGATCTGGTATCTGATGCTTTTTCTAAGCAATGGAAATAAATCAGATTTGCCAGAAATCTGTTAGGAATTTTGGGCCTTCATTTGGGGGCTGTAGGACAGGAACAGAGAGAGACAACTTTGTTTAAAAGAAAAGGGGAGAGATTTTTCTACTCACTTGCTTGTCCCTTAATGAGTGGTGGGTATTCACATTAAATCAGTATTCTTTGTTTTTTATTGTCACCAATTGCTAGTTATTTTAAGTTCTATGGAGTTAGTGTCTATATTTGCTGTTAGCCATAGATGTATTGGGATGATGGTTTAAACTCTTGGGTCAGTTTTGCTGAGAGTGAAGGTTAGTCAAATAAGGCAGAGGAAGAATAGGTTTATTAAAAATCCAAGTCTAAGCAGGAAACTGTCTAATCTAGGATGTTAGAGACTGACTCATGAAATCAAAGAGTGTTATCACCTACAGTGTACTCTGGACTAAAGCTCTGTAAGTTTCAATACATTTTAGAGAAAATAGAAATAGATTTTATCTGAAGGGCAGGTTCTTTGACCCTTTTATTGTAACATGGCTGTGAGTAAATGGTGCATATGTGTTTTGGTTTCTAAAAGCGATTTGATGGGATCATAACCTTGGGTTGGATGGGAGCTCGAAGTGAGTCATTTAGTCATTTTATATTAATTTAGAACCTATGCTATGCCAGCCTCTGGCCTTAGTCCTGCAAATACAGGGATGAGTCAGGGATGAGCCTTTGCATTTGGCATAATTCATCTGATTTCACATTGAGACTTTAAAGTAGAAGATTGGTAGATGAATCCTTCAAATTGAATGGTGGGTATACTATATTAATTTTAACGGTACTGAATTTTTTTTTTGAATTTTTGATCAAGCTAATTTACACATTATTCTTTCTTAGTCTATAGTAAGATATAGATGTATAGCAACTGTCTTCACTTTGATTCAGTTTTTATTTTGATTTATTTTTATATGTGAAGGTTTAACTTTAGACAGTAGTTCTGTCAGTAACTGTTGCATTGTGCAATTTCATCATGCAAAGTTAACATGATAATTTGAATTGTATTTTAGTACATTATCCTGAATGAGAAAGTAGTGATTATATATACATTGTAATGTTAAATACTAATATCACTTATGTTTGTTAATTTAACATTTTGGCATATTTTTGTTGTTGTGTTCTAGCACAAGGCTTTCACTGAAGTATTTCTAGATGATTCACATAATCCTGCAAATTGTCGGATGTCAGTGCAAGTTGCCACACCAGCATTAAACCTTTCTGTTCGCTTTCCAATACCTGATCTTCGATCAGATCAAGAAAGAGGACCATGGTTTAAGAAGTCACTTCAGAAGGAGATCCTTCATTTAGCATTTTCAGATCTAGAATTTAAGACTGAATTTATAGGAGGATCAACCCCAGAACAAATTAAATTGGAACTTACCTTTAGAGAACTAGTTGGTAAGATTGAACATGCCTTTAAAAGAGCCAGACTAGACACAAACAGCTGCTACTGAAACATACATCATGTAAAGCATATGACAGCCCATTAGGGTAGAAATCGAGAGTGACTTTTTTCCCAGTATTGAATACAAATATGTAGTAGAAGTCAGCTTAAAAAAAAGTTACGAAGCATGATGACTTATTCGCTTTGTTGATGCTTCTTTTCTCCAGGGGAAAGGGTTGCTTTCGCCTCTGCTTTTACTACCACCGACCACTTAATTGTAGGGCTAATGTGATAGCCAGAATTTACTGAGTGCCTCTCTATGTTAGGTGCTGTGGCTAAGCACTCTTTTATACCTTGTTTCCTTTCATCATCATTGTTATGTTAGGCTTATTATTTCCAGTTATTTTTATCATTTATAAATGAGAAACGTAGACTTAAGAAAAGGTACCTTCCCAGGTCCTGCATAAGAAATGGCAGAGTCAAGATTCAGACCCAAGTCTGATACTAAAGTTTGAGCTTTGAGTCATCATACTATTCTCCAAGAACTTTTCTTTGTAAATCCTGTTTTAAGTTTTTCTGTGCCACTTTGCTTTTGTCTTCTGAGGAAGAGAATATGTAGACTTATACAGGGAACCAAGTCTGTGAAGAGCTCTGGAAAGTCCTGACATTTTATCCTGCGGTTCCTAAACAGCCCTCCTCTGCCACCACACCCTCTTCCCCCCTTGCTTATCTGAGTTTCACACATCTTCAGAGATACAGTGATTATGACTTGTGAAAGCACCTTTAGGGTTTCTCTGATCTTTCCTTATCTCCAGTAGTAAGAAAGTCATTATTCTAGAGGGAAGTCATTCCTTGTAAAAAAAGTTTGAAAAAACTTTTATAGGGTTATTGTGAACAGAGGTAATTCTTTCAGTGCTTGGTACAAAATAGACATTAAAGAAATATAATTATTATCTCTGTGTTTCTAGATGCACTACATAAACTTTTATAAGGAATAATCAGTAAGTGGCACTCAGTAAGTGCTAACTGCTGATCTCCTGTGTCATAACTGTGTATCTTACATGTTAAACTTGATAATTTGAGTTTATCTCTTATCCTATTATAGGGCTTATCCTGTTCTACAGCATTATTCGTTTATTCCTATGCGTACATATGAAACGGGAATAAGTGAATAATACTGTAGAACTTAATGTTGCATTATGTCTCTGATTTAGAGGATTTCTTGTCCTCTAAAGAGAAAACTTTGTCTTTTAGCACTTGAGAAGAAATGAACTTTACTTAGTCAGTCTTGTTTTATTAGGGTCATTTCAGGAAGATAAAGGAGAACCATCTATTAAGTTTTTCCATGTGTCTGGTGGAGGGGATGGAGATACAACATCATCAGATGATTTTGACTGGCCACGGTGAGTAAGCAAATGTATATGATACATACATTTAATGAGATTTTCCTTCCAAAGGTAAATTTCTATAGTCCTTTTAAACAGACGTTTTGGCTTCTAAATTTAAGCTAAAAAAATACAGCCTTGATGAGAGAACCCAAATTAAATAAAAAATATATGTTGAGCACTATCCTATGAAAGGTATCTGTTAGATATTATAAGAGATGAAAGTATAAAATATGTTTTCTGATCTCATGTTACCTAGTCTAATTAGAGGGTCAAAAAACCATTAACCATTTAAAAAATAATTCAAGGCTACAATACAAGAGATATCATATGGGATCATTTGGTTAGTTGTCAAATGAATTTTATAGTCAATGATTGCTTTAGGGCAGTGTTTTCCAAATCTAGGGAGTGTTTATAAGATACTGATTCTTGGACCTCACCCTGAGATTTCTGGGATAGAGACTGGACATCAATCAGTATAGTTTAAAAATTATACCAGGTGATTCCAATGTGAAGGTGGATGCAGAGAACCACTGCTTCAGGATTTCTTAGGAGATATCATTCCATAAGTTAAATTAGCTGGAGAGTGAGCCTGTATTATATTTAGGTTATATTTAAAAGAACTTAATTTATTGGAAATAATGATCCTTTATTGTATTGAAAACTAAGTATTTGAAGTCTCTAAAAATTGAGGTGGTCTTTTTTGTGCTGTTTTTCTGCCTGCCTTCCTTTACACCCTTGTCGCCTATGGATCCGGGCCTCTCAGGTGTTTAGGACAGGCTTAATCATACATGCCTGATAGCATTCAGAGCATGAGTTTCCATCATAAGAAATGGTTCTACTTCAATTAGATAATTTAGAATCACAATTTACATGAGGGTACCTATAAATTAGCAAACAGTGTGATAGTTTGTAACTGTTACACATGAAACACAGCTGTTCTGTTTGAGGGTGCTGTGCTCCCTCATGATGGGGGCAACGTGATAAAAAGGAGGCACCCAAGCCTATGCTGGTGACGTGATGGAGATGAGGAAGGGAATAGCGTTACTCTGGAGCAAGAGCTCCTGCCATCAGAGGCTGTAGGCTCCTCGTGGTCTGGGTTTGTCAATGTAAAACGACAGCACGAGCCTTTTGTTACTGGAATTCTTGAAGGAAAAGATTACTTTGTTGTTGCAGTTTTGAAACTATTCCCTACTTATTCTCCTTTCTCCATTGGACCAATTTATATGATACAAAGTTTCTTAAGTTGTTCATGATAGCAGAACAAACTGCATGTGAAAGGATTTGGTTTAATGATAATAAATAGATTTTTTAGGAAAAATTTGCTGGCTGTTAATGAAATTTAAAAATTACTTTTTTGTCTTCAAAAAGTCAGATTTTCACTTAGCCAAGTATAAAGTGGTAATGCCTTTTATTTGTTTCATCAATTCCACACTATTAAGTCTACAATGTGTGCAGAAGTGGGTTACATTAGACATAATAACTTTGGAGAGAAGCTGAATCTTAGCACCAGTGATTTAATCAGTGGTCTTTGTATTTGCATTAAAGTTAAAGTTTTGCGGGTGACGCTTAGATCTTGATTTCTAAAATTGTCTTTGCTATCAGAATTGTGCTGAAAATAAATCCACCAGCCATGCATTCTATTTTGGAGAGAATAGCCGCTGAGGAAGAAGAGAGCGATGGCCCCTGTCAGGAAGAGGAGGAAGGAGGCGCTCATTCCCTGAAAGATGTCTGCGATCTGCGGAGGCCAGCCCCGTCGCCCTTTTCTTCTCGTAGAGTGATGTTTGAGAATGAACAGGTAAAATAGAAGTGTGAGCGAGCGACAAAGGGATTATTCTCTGTCATATAGCAGTGGTTTTCTTTGTCTTCCAAAAAATGCTTTGTATACTGTTTCTGCTAGGTTTTTAGCTCCAAGATTGAATATCTGTTTTTCTTGATTAGGAGTTAGAATTTACATGCTTATTTATTTGCTCACATCCTAAGTCATACAAAGAGGGCAAGAAGATGCTACTACTATTTTAAACATAAAATGGTTATTTGATGTCTTTTTTTTGTACTAAACTATTATATTTTAGATGGTGATGCCAGGAGACCCTGTAGAAATGACAGAGTTTCAGGATAAAGCAATCAGCAATTCTCACTATGTGCTGGAACTTACCTTACCCAAAATTCATGTAACACTACCTAATAAAAGCTTTTATGAGAAGCTTTATAATAGGTGAGTTTATACACATTTAGTTGGATCTTTGGGGATCAGATTTTTCTGCCTCCTCACCTCCCTGGTTTCCTTCTTCCCCCTATTCTTTCCTTTCTGTAATATTATCTTCTGTCTCATGTGTACTTTGTATGGTGTTGATTATAGAATTATTACCATTACGGTGGGCTGTCATAGCAGAGTTCCTAACAGTGTGTCTAGCAAGTGGCTTGCTTGTGTGCGAGGCATTTATTCCCTCTGCCATCACGTTGGCTGGCCCTCACTTGACCTTATGACAGGGTGCTTGAGCAAGCGTCTCCTTCCTCTGTGTTTGCCGTGACATGAAAACAGTTGGAGATACTTGTACAGAGGGCCAGCAGATAGTGGGGAAGAATCAGGATCCTAGATCTTTGTACAAGTCGCATCCATTCTCAGAATTCAAGAAAGCATCTTGTTAGGATTATAAACTCTAACATATAAACTTGTGTATAAAAATTTAATTTATTAAATAACCTGTGACTTATATACCAAGCAAACATGTTGAAATAAATGGCATTCTAGAGTTGGAAGGTCCTAGACTCTGAAGACTGGACACTTTCCATAGTCTCCATAAGCTCAGTTTCATCATCTCTAAAGTAAAGATGATACTCGAACCTGCCTGAAAGCGCTGTTTGGAGCGTTAAATGATGTAACACTTAGAGAGTTCTGAGAACAGTGCCTGTAGGAGGCACTCAGTAATCAGCTGCTGTTGTTATCATTCTGCCCATTGAAGGAATCTCTTCTGGGGCAGGCCTGAAAGACTGTCTTGTGGGTTTCTAGAAAAGATGTCCTTAATTGTCTATCATTGCTAGCTTCTCCCATATAAGCAAGTTATTCTCCTAATCTTCAGAAACTTGAAACTGTTGTATCTGTTAATAGATTTACTTGGTATCAAATATCCTTGGCCTTTATTCCTTATCTGTTCAATAGTAAGTATGCTCTGGATTTCCTTATTGACTACCAGTGTCCAGAACTGTTGGTCTTAGAATCAGAAAACTAAGATCTACTTAGTTTAGTTGTCTTAAAGATGAGATTCACAGGACTGTCCATTGAGGTATAGGAAGAAAATGTTAATATTTCTACTTAACTTTTAAAAAAATCATTTAAAATTTTTGTCTTTATATTTTATAATTACATAATTTATAAATAAAAGCATAGAATTTATAAATTCACATTAGAGGGTTTTCACAAACTTTTAACTGTTAAGGTTACACATGATATACAGTTTGGAAACCACTGATTTCTGGACTACGCTTCTTATTTTATAGTTGAGAAGTGTCTATCAAGAGCTAATAGATATGTGAGGTACAGGTGAGCAAAATGGAACAATAGTTCAAGGGCTAGTCCAGAGGGCAGAGGGGCTTAGCCCATTTCTTCCTCTTTCTGCATTGATTGAGCAGGTGGCTGTTGGTTAAATTGGGACATGAGGACAGAAATACATATAGTAAACATTCAGTTTATAAATATATGTTCACTTACACCTTTTTTCTTAAGTATAGGATGGCCTTTGAATATGAGCCAGCCACTGGTTGGAATTTTTGCATAATATATGCCCCCAAGGGCTTTGTCTGCAATTTTCAGTTTCATTTTCTTTAAAGTGTGTGAAAAAATAGTTTCAAAGCAATCCTAGTGCAAATCCTGTGTTTCTTAAAATTTTCCCACCTTTGTCTGTATACTTAAAAGCCATCAGCACACTAATAAAATATACTTATGTTAACAAATACATATGGGATGAGCAGATTTGAGGCCAAACACAATTAACCCTCGGTGAACATACAGAACAGAGAGTTTTTCTGCTAGAAGCAGAAGCTTTCAGGTGTGCGAGGGAGTGTTGTGTCAGCAGCTGCAGTTAGCGTGTGGGAACGCTGGTCAGTGTGGCAGGTGGGGTGGGTGGTTGCTTAAGTCAGGGGACTAGAGAGTGTCTTCATCTGGGGAGTTGGTTAAATGGGGCTTCCTAAGAGAGTTTTTGTTCTGTCTTGGCCTGTTTCTGTGTTCCTCAGGCCCCTAGAATTATGTAAATACTGAACTGCTTGCTCCCTCATTCCTGTGCATTAGGTAAATCATATCTTAAGTTCTCAGGGTGTGAATCCTTTGCTCTTTATTTAGCTTTGTGTGCATATATTTTATTTTCAAATTAATATTTTTAAAGTTTTCAAACATTCTCAAACTTACAAAAAAGTTGCAAGTGCAGCACAGAGCTTTTTTCCCTGAGCTATGTGAGAATAAGTGCTGACCAATGCCCCTTCAGCCTTGAGCATTTGAGTGTTTATTTCCCCACAAACAAGGATATTCTACTTTACCTTGATTCAGCTGTCAAATGAAAAAATTAATATTTTACATTTTCATCTAATCCTTAGACTAGTCAAATTTTACTAAATGTCTCAAGAATTCCCTTATATATATATATATACATATATATATGCATATATATACATATGTATATATAATTTTTAAAATATCTTTCTGAGCAGGTGTTATAGCAACTCTGCATTTTACTTTATATATTTAAAATATTGAATTATTCCTTTAGTGCCTTGGTCAGTTGGCTCTTCTTAGTCTCAGGTATAGGAAAATTTTTTCTATGTCAAAAGTTCTTTAGAATATAAACAAGAATTCTAATTGGTTTATTAAATTAAAAGCTTGTTGAGCATCTGTGTTTCAGGCTCATAGTCATAGTGTCCTTAAATACTTTAATGTGTCCTTAAATACTTTAAGTGTTTTCCTTCTTGATATTAGAAACATCAGTGTTTTATAGTATTAGTGATACCAACACTAAGTTTAGACCAAAATGTAAATAAGGAAAACACAGTAAAATCAAATGAAACTTTTACAGATCACATACCATGAACTCCAGGTTTTATTTAATAGTTTTTCTTTATCTTGTGAAGATAAGAGAATGGTTGTAGGAAATAAGGTAAAGAAAGCATTTCCTGAGAAAATTCTTCATTTTATATCTTTAATATTTATGTAGGCATTTAGATTAAGATCTGGTTTTAGACTCTTTGTTTCTTTGTCCTGTGAGTAATATGCTCAAGAAGCTGTGAGCCACATAAGGACCACACAGTTTTGGGGCCTAGCTGTCGGTGTGTCTGAGATGAGATGTATTTCTGCCCTGTATCCCTGGCATTCTTCACCTAGCGATGTTTCTAAAAGGAGACCTTTGGGTGGGGATTACAATTTGCTGATAGTCACAGTACTCAGTCCTGATTTATACTTTCTAGACTTCAGAGCTCAGGAATTGCCCTGGGAAGTTCCTAGACAAGCGGCTTCTCTCAGGAAGAGGTCAGGGCCACACCATCACTTGGCACCTTGATTGGTATTCACAGTAGGCTTTACGAAGAGTCTGCTTTTGGCATTCCTTCCATGTGAGTCATAAAGGGTAAGTGGCCTGCCTAAGGTCACACAGCTAATGAGTAGAACTGGGACCAGAGCTACTAGTCCTTTAATCATTAAACCTTCAGTGCTTGCTGTATGACAACCACTGTGCCTGACACATATAAAGATGACTAACACACAAGTCCTCTCTGAGGGACTACAGTCTAAGAAGGGGAAACAAGAAAATACAGTGGAGTGTTAACAGGTGCTGTGATTGAATTCTACCTGTGAGGGATGCACTATGGGCCCAGATCTAACTAAAGGCTTCATAAGAGGACCTGATAAAGTCTTGAGTTTTCATGAAACTAGAGCATGGGTGAAGGCTGAGGTGGTGGGATGGTGGAAAAGGCAGAGGGCATTTGAATAGGAACAAATATTTCTATGAAAAATATTAGTTTGAAAAAGATGTGGTAGTAGCCTAGCTTGACACCTGTCACCCCATTATCACTAGTATTGAATTGGCTTTTCAACTAGAAGGGTTTCCTTTCCTTATTCCCTGTTCCATATGAATTCTTCATCTCATATAAACTTCCCAATGAAGCTGTGCTTTCTGTTGAAGAAAGAAAAACTAGGTCTCCCTAGAGGACGTGAGTAATGGAAGAAAACTGAACCGGGAGCTGGACATGATCTGGGCTCTAGTCCCAGTTCTACTCATTAGCTGTGTGACCTTGGGCAGGCCACTTAACCTTTATGAGGCAGTTTTCAAGTGTGAAGTGATAATGATTCTCCCTTGGCTGCCCCGTAGGACTGAAAGGAGGGCCAAGTGGGGCAGTGCAGGATCTGTTATAGTTTACAGAATACTCGCAGAAAGGTGAGTGGCCTGCCTGTTTGTTCTTCACGGGTTTTTAGTTTTCATTCACTTCCTCCTTTACAGTGCATTGAGATGTGTGTAATTTGATGCATGTAACCTGGGTAAAACTAGGCAGGTATCTAATTGTACAGATTCCTTTCTCACTGTCCCGCAGTATAGTTGTATCAGTTATTTTCCCATTGAAAGAACATAATTGATATTTTTAAAAAAACTCTCTCATAGGATCTAATTTCTACTTCACCATTTAGAAAAATCATAATTCATATGACCTCTTAAGTGGATATTTTTTGCTTTGCCTTTGGTTGAACCAGGAGTTATGTACTTACAACTTTTGCCTTTATAGGATCTTTAATGACTTGCTGCTGTGGGAACCAACAGCTCCTTCACCAGTGGAGACTTTTGAAAATATTTCATATGGTATTGGGCTTTCAGTAGCCAGTCAGCTGATTAATACCTTCAACAAGGATAGTTTTAGTCCATTTAAGTCTACAGTTCACTATGGTAATATATTTTAAATTTGTTCTGAATTAAAATGCCTGGTTTATCAATAAACGAAGTGGCCTTTTCAACTGATATATTTAAAAATGTTTCTTTGATGTTTTCCATTTGTAACTATTTACAGTATGTTGGTAATTTACAGTATTTCTGCATTTCTATTATTGTCAGTGGTAATGTATACATTATCTAAATTTCAGCAGTAAAGAGGAAAACATAAAAAGTGTATTTTTATTGCCAGGTCAGATTTTTTGTAAAAAAATAAACAAGTTGTAAAGTATACTCCTGTGATAATGTGTAAGTTGCTGTCTTATTTTAACAAGCTGTCAGGACCTGTAATTGCAGCCCTTATTTCTTATAGACGAGGAAAGTGGGTCTGAGGAGGACACCTTGCAGTACTTTTCGGCTGTTGACCCTAACTATCGTTCCCGGAGGAAGAAGAAGCTAGACTCTCAGAACAAGAACTCACAGAGTCTTCTCTCAGTTCTTCTGTGTATTAATCATGGATTGGTGGCAGTGTTTACAGATGTAAAGGTAAGGATTTACAAATCAAAAAGCGTTTTTTCAAGTGTACTTGCTTACAGTTCTAACTGTGCTACCAGCACATATCCAGTAGCTGAGGTAGTTTGCGGTGGTTTCAGGGCCTGGTGAGGATGAGTTTTCTGGAGCATGCCGTGATGATAGCCACTTGGGAAATTTAGCTTCCATTGCAGATCACAACACAGATGTTATCTGGACTGTTTTGGAAAATGAGTGCTGGTTCTGCTCCTGAGGTGACAGCTAGTAACTTGCCTATTATAGAGGAGTGTGAAGTTCAGGGATTCATTTGGCAGAAGAGGCCCCACAGAGTGTTTAATTACGCAGTTTTCATAGAACCATGCTTAATGGCTCATGAGTCATACCACTTCGCTGCAACTGGAAGATTCTCCTAAGCTGAATCAAGAAGGTGCCTCCTATGGGTCATTTTTACTTTTCTGTATTTAAATAAAGACTTAAATGTTTTTCTGGTCTTTTTATTAGCAAGATAACGGAGAGCTATTGGAAAACAAGCATGGTGAATTCTGGTTAGAGTTCAATAGTGGTTCGTTATTTTGTGTGACAAAATACGAAGGTTTCGATGACAAGCACTACATCTGCCTTCACGCCAGCAGCCTCAGTCTCTGCCACAGAGGTAGGATGAGGGTTGAATATGTGGTTTTGTTCACTTCTGTTTAGGCATGTTTAAATTTTGTTTAATAAAGGAGCACAGAACTATGATATTAGAAATTATTTTCTGTGGGGTGTTCTGAGGCAAAGTTCTGAGGTTTCTGGGGCAAAGTAATATTAACTGTAAATTAGAAGTTGACTTTGTGTTCTTTTTTAGTAACAACTTATTGAGATATAATTCACATACCAAACAATTTACCCATTTAAACTATACATTTCAGCAATTTTTAGTATTTCACAGAGTTGTATAACCATCATCGCAGTCAATTTGAACATTTTCATCTCCCCCAAAAGAAATTGTGCCCTTTAGCAATAACCCCCACAACCCTCCCATCCCACCTACCGCTAGGCAACAATTGATCAACCCTCTGTGTCTGGATTTGTGTATTCTGGATGTTCATGTAAATAGAATAATGCAATGTATGGTCTTTTGTGACTGGCATCTTTCATTACCATGATGTTTTCAAGGTTCATTCAGGTGTCTTGGTATTTCATTCCTTTTTATTGCCGAATACTCCGTTTTATGACTATACCACACCATATCTTAATATCCGTTCATCAGTTGATGGGACTTAACATTCTTTATACTTTCTGAAGTGGTATTTCCTTTTGGTAACAAATACACGATACCATTCTTTGAGCACATTCTCTGTATTACCTTGGAATAGAAATGACATACTTGTATAGTCTTAATATTTATCAGATTTTCCTATTTAAACTTACTTTTCCTAGCATTTCAAATTTTAATTTTTTTTAAGTTGGATACTGTCAGTCATACCAACGTTAGCAAAGAAGTATAGCTTATTAATATCTAACTGATTCTTGGTCATTTTGCCTCCAGGATTATATTACATTCAGTGGAAGTACATAGATTCTTGTTTTCAGTTATAGAAGCCCATGAACTAATTTTAAGTATCATTTTGTTAAATTTTCATCTCATTGTGGATGTAGGCATAGTGGATGGAGTGATTCTTCCTACAGAAACACGACTGCCCAATTCAACCCGCCCACATTGGTTGGAACCTACTATCTATTCCTCTGAAGAAGATGGCCTCAATAGAGCTGCTTCAGATGGTATTGGTGGAGACACTTTGAATATGCTCTCTGTTGCAGTCAAAATATCATCTGATAAATCAGAGTCCAATACAAAGGTTTGTGTATTGTACTTTTATACCATTAAATACTTGCTATTGATTTGATTACTAGCTAAAAATGATTGCATAAAGGGCAACACATTTATTTTCTTAGAAAAACTCTTCAAGTTTTGAATTAGAGGTTATTATGTAAGCAATAAATGTAATTCTTTGTGTTGTTCTGTACAGGAATTTCTCATTGCTGTAGGACTGAAAGGAGCCACTCTCCAGCACAGAATGCTTCCTTCTGGGCTTAGCTGGCATGAGCAGGTAAGAGAGCTGTTATGTATGTGTTGATTTATTTTTACTTTATATTGACATATAATACACATACTGAAAAGTTCATGAGTCATAAATGTTCAGTGCTTGTTGAATTATTATGAAGTAAACACTCTTATATTATTAATGCTTCTGACTTTAGAAAATAGAATGTTATCACCACCCCAGAATACAATTTTTTACCTTCAAGTTTGGTCCCTAAACATCTTAAAGACAGAATTATCCTTTATGTCATTAAAGGGAAGGGATTCTTTCCCAGGACCTGCAGAGTGCCTGGTCTAGAGGAACAATAAGTGATGTATTGACCTTCACTTATAACCATATATTGTTTTAATGCTATAGTTTCAGAATTATTCCCTAGGCCAGTAACATGCTTTGAGGTATTTATAAGGATTTCTGTAATTACTTTCCAGTTTAATAACTGTAATTGGTTAATGAAACATAGTTAGTTACTTTTCAGAGGAAACTTTGGGTAAGAAGTTAACTTTTCTTTCTGTGAGAATGAAAACTAGTGCACTATAGTTCTGTCCAATTTCTAACCTCATTTAAATAGAAATTTAGGTGAATAGATGATGGTGAAAGGGACTTGTTTTCAGACTGAGCTAGTTACAAATCTAGGAGAACTTCTCCCACCAAAGGATTGTATAGAGAACCAGATGGAGAGTCTTAAGCAGTTTTTAGCAAAATTTGTTTTTTAAAGAATTATTCCAAGCAAAATAATATGAATATATATATATTATACATACTTTGTTAGTTTCATAGGAGGACTTTTCAAAGATTTTGGTGGTAATGCAGTTGTTGAATGGGCTTCTTCATTGAAAATTCTAGTTTTGCAAATACTTTCTGAAATGAATTCCTTTAAAATAATGGTTGCTTTTTGTTTTAGCATTATGATTTTCCAGTAAATGGTTGCTTTTTCTGTGACATTTTATTTTACGTTGGTATTAAGGATATCATATCAAAACCTTTTTTTTCTTCTAAAGCAGGGCATTTTATATTTTTGTGATTATAGATTTTATACTTCTTGAATATTGCTGATGAACCTGTTCTGGGATATAATCCTCCAACTTCATTTACAACTTTTCATGTTCATCTTTGGAGCTGTGCACTTGATTATAGGTTAGTTTACAAATGGAACAAAAGTTTTATTATTTAAAATATGTACTAAGTTTTAAAAAAATACTTTATTCAATAGAGTTAAAGTTCAAAATGCTCTTTAAAAGTAGTTTCTGTTCCTAATTACAACCCTTAAATAGAATTCGTGCCTCATATCGAATTTACCGAGTATCATAATTCTTCCAGGTGGTAAAGATACCTCGAGAGAAGTGCTGGGCATAGAAGCCACAGGGCATAAAT